GAGATCATCAAGGACCCCACAAAATATGATGTGTTGAACTTCAGCCTTTATCATCCCTATTCAGCCCAGCCTAGATCACGAGGGCTGACGTCCCATGCATTCTAAAAGGCACTAAAGAAGTAAAAACACACAATTTTAGAAGTTGGGAAGAAGATTGTCCTGGTAGTCAAGTGGGGACATAATTGAATTTATAACCTGGAGTTCACGTTAATCCAGAGTGACCTTGGTTTTAAGATCAGGTTAGTGCAGATAAGGAGGAGTCTTCCCTTTTGACTGGGACAATTGGGTTGAAGTAGACATTAGCTCTCTTAGATACACCCAACTGGGGAGGTGGTGCCATTTTTTCCCCAACCACTCCTCTCTTAAATTCTTATTGCACTTGAGCAATTGATGCAGGTGGGTATTTTTGAAATTGTTCACCCCGAGATCAGAGAAACGGTAATTTCCCCAGAAATTTTTCAACCAACCTCAAGCTGGCAGAGATCTTCTTCACTTAAATGTTTCTCAGCCTTGGCCACTTTTAAGACGTGTGGACCTCAACGCACAGAATTCTGGGAGTTGAAGTCCACCCCTCTTAAAGTGGCCAAGGTTGAGTCATACTGCCAAGTTAAACTCATGGCTGAACACCAGACCTGCCTTTGAAAACCTGGCTGGCACGGCAAAGACTTTTGGGGAAGGCTCTTTCAGAGGAGAAACTGGGCAGGAGGCTCCAGCGTCTTTAACGGCTTTTGGGATCTGTTCATATATAATTTTTATATATATATATATAATTATTATTATTATTTCCTCTATCTTTGTGTATGGTTAATTTCCCCCTACCCCTCTCTGTGGCGGGATCAGGTTTGGCCCCTGTTCTGTCTGTATGTATCACTGTTGTGAAACATAAAATATGTCTGGTAACATGCAAAGGACTTTTGTCTGTGTGTGTTGTGTATTGGGCCTCGGAAGAGTCGAGAATAACAAGGGCCAGCAAAAGAAACCCTTTTGGGGGGCAGGTGGGAGGAGAGGAAAAAGCAGAAGGCATCTTAAGTGAATCCCGGCAGTTGATAAGTTGGTAACCTGGTTGCTGAATGAACCTGGCTTTGCTTGTCTGAAGGTCACAAAGGATCAAGTGATCTTGGGACACAGCAACTGTCTTAAACGTGAGTCAGTTGCCCAGCATCCGAATTTTGATCACGTGACCACGGGGATGCTGCAAAGATCGTAAGTGTGAGAAAAACAGTCATGTCACATTTTCCAGTGTAACTTTGAACAGTCACTAAACAGACTTGGTTGAAGCAATGTACAAAAGCATCTTGGTTGAAGCAATGTACAAAAGCGGTCGTCCTCAACGTACCACCATATTGGGGCCATTATTCTGTGGCTAAGCCAGGTGCTCGTTAAGTGAGTTGCACCTGATTGAATGACGTGAGAGCAAGGACCCGCCTTAAATCACTTCTTTCAGTGCTGTTGTACCTTTGAACCATCGCTAACTGGCAGTCCTCCACTTTACGACCGCAATGGAAGCCAAAATTTCTGCGGCTACGTGAGACAGTTGTTAAATGACTTTTGCCCCCTTTCTGGCCACAGTTGTTAAGTGAATCACTGCAGTTGTTAAGTTAGGAACTCGGTTGTTAAATGAATCTTGCCTTACCCATTGACTTGGTTGGTCAGAAGGTCTCATGTGACCCCGGGACACTGTGACCGTCATAAGAAAGAGCCAGTTGCCAAGCGTCTGAACTTTGACCACATGCTGTCATGGTCGTAACGCAGTGTTTCTCAACCGTGACAATTTTAAGGCATGTGGACTTCAACTCCCAGAATTCCACAGCCAGCAATGCTGGCTGTGGAATTCTGGGAGTTGAAGTCCACATGCCTTAAAATTGTCACGGTTGAGAAACACTGGTTGTAAGCGTGAAAAATGGTCCTAAGTCACTTTTTTCAGTGCCATTGTAACTTTGAACAGTCACTAAACAAACTGGTAAGTCGAAGACTCCTTGTAGTTAAGCAACCTTGTTTTTAAAAATGGGTAGTGTTACTCCGTTCATCAGAACACTCTCTGGAAGCCAATTCTCAAGTCCACCTTCCTGAAGGCCGGACCTGGCGGCAGGCGAGGCCCCAGGTACAACACAAAATTCGGCCAAACCTATCTGCCCATGGACAGCTCTCTCCATCCGTGGTTGAACTTCTGAGCATCCGAGGAAGCCACAAACATTGGCGCTTCTGTGCAGCCGATGAGAACACAAGCCCAGCTGAATAACTGCTTCGACTTCACACAGCGACACTACGCAGAAGGTACCGATTGATCGGTAAGAGTGGAAAAGTGTCCCACTCAAAGACGAGGGCGATCTGGAGGCCGGATCCTGCTCCTTTCCTGCACCGACGGTCTTGTCTTCCCAGCAACAGGGCAGAAGCAGCGTCACCAGGAATCGCTGTGCGTCAATGCATGATATGATGATGGCGGTGATCCTTTCTAACCTGCTCAACATGCAGAGAGGATCACGAGCTTAAATGTCCAGGGAATCAAACAGCCAAATCTGCTTTTTTTTTTCTTTTTAGGGTTTTATCCCCACCCAGTGGTAGCGAAGCAAAAATGCAGGCAATTTAAGTCACCTCTTCAGAAACTGAATTCCTTATACAGGTAGTCCTCGACTTTAACGACCACAACTGAGTCCAAAATTTCTGTCGTTAAGCAAGACATGTGTTGAGTTTGGCCCCATTTTACCACTTTTCTCGCCACGGTGGTTAAGTGAATCCCGGCAGTTATCAACTGCCGGGATTCACTTAACCACTGTGGCGAGAAAAGTGGTAAAATGGTTGCTGAATGAACCTGGCTTTGCTTGTCTGAAGGTCACAAAGGATCAAGTGATCTTGGAACACAGCAACCGTCTTAAATGTGAGTCAGTTGCCCAGCATCTGAATTTTGATCACGTGACCACGGAGATGCTGCAAAGATCGTAAGTGTGAGAAAAACAGTCATAAGTCACATTTTCCAGTGCCGTTTGTAACTTTGAACAGTCACTAAACAGACTGTTGTTAAGTCAAGGACCCCCTATAGTGGGGGTGAAGTGAGTTCAGTATTTCCCTTTTTTTTCTGCACAGAAGTTGGGATACACAATAATAACTGCCTTTCTCTGCTCCCTGTAAGTCCTACAACAGGGGTCTTCAGACTTGGCCCTTTTATGATGTGGACTTCAACTCCCAGAATTCCTTAGTCGGCCATTTTGATGAAACTGGAGGCTTGGATCCAGACCAGGGGTCTTCAAACTTGGCCCTTTGATGACTTGTGGACTTCAACTCCCAGATTCCTCAGCCAGCGTGCCTGGCTGAGGAATTCTGGGAGTTGAAGTCCACAAGTCATCAAAGGGCCAAGTTTGAAGACCCCTGTCCTACAACGTTGAAACAGAAAACAAATTCTCCAATTGACAAATACTTCGTACTTTAAGTCACCTGAAAGCTATTCAACATCACTTCTAACTAACGGTCATCAGATGTGACAAAGTGATAGGGAAAGATTAAAAAAAAACATTAAAAGATGGTCAGGTTGTGCTGAAGTTAGTTCCTATACGTTGGTTCACTATCTATAAGGTCCTGTGTGTATATGGTCCTGAATGTAAGATCCATTCAAATTACAAGGGTTGGGAGCTGAGGAAGCACAGCATAAAATGCTCAAAAGCCAAGTTACCCACTTGAGCAGCTTGTTCTAAGAGAAAGGGAGCTGACTAAAACTCTGAAAAAGGAGCAGACTTGGATATCCCACATTTTCACCCCAATTTACTGAGCTCCCCTTTAACAGTGATGACTTGAAGAGCTAGAAGCAAATAGGGAGGACTGCCAATTTCTAAAGCAGTCTACTTGAGAGATCTAGAAGAATTCAGGGGTGAAAAAGCAGATCCAATGTCGTCGTTTACATGCAACAGAGTGTTTAAATACAGATTTGGGTGTGATCCAAGAAATTGCCACCCTTTCATTTATGGCCCAAGCTGGGAGAAAATCGGAAATGTTATTAAAAATAAAGAATGAAGAAAAAGAAGCAAGAATGGAGAAATGATCTGAGTAAAACAGCGTTTTTTTCAAACTTGGTCACTGGAAGATGAGTGGACTTCAACTCCCAGAATTCCCCAGCCAGCTTTCCACTCATCTTCCAGTGACCAAGTTTGAAAAAATCCCACTACTTTAGGGAATTGCACAAATGGCATTCTTCTTTTTGTAAACCATACTTTCATGGCTTAGTGTGCTAACATTAACCAGCCAATCATGGTTTAGATTACAGTGTTTCTCAACCTTGACAATTTTAAGGCATGTGGACTTCAACTCCCAGAATTCCACAGCCAGCAATTCCACAGCCAGCATTGCTGGCTGTGGAATTCTGGGAGTTGAAGTCCACATGCCTTAAAATTGTCAAGGTTGAGAAACACTGGTTTAGGGAACCAATCATGGCTTAGCTCACTTAACTCTACTAGAAGGAACAGTCTGACTGGGAAATATTGCCTGCAGGTGATCCTGGCTAATCCTCGTCCTTATCATTAATACTCACTGCTACTTTCTCATTTGACACCTTTCCTATAATAGCCCAACATTGCAAGCCCCGCCCAACTACCGGAGGAGGCCCCGCCCCCTCCTTCGGCAGGTGCGGAGGATTTCTCATGCGCCAATCGCATCCTCTCTTACCCCCTCCGCCATACCACGGCAGCCAATCCGGACTCCCGGAACAGCCCCCGTCCTAAACCGCTGCCCTATCCCGAGGCTCGCTCCGCCTTTTAAGCGGCGCTCTAGCCCGCGAGGGAAGGAAACGCTCTTCTCTCTGATAAGGCGGCCCCCCCTCCGCTGAAGAGCGAAACGGGGTTTCTGCGCATGAGCCCCGCCCGCCGCTGACGCTTCCGCAGCAGGCTCCGCCCCCCGCGCTTTTCCCGCTAAGCGGGGCTTTGCGACGGGCGGGCTTGACGGCTGCTGGGTTTCCCCCCCTCCTCGCCCCCCCCGTGGCTGGTTGTCAGGGCGCCTCGCTTTACGGCCCGGCGGCGATGGCGGAGGGAGAGCGGGCGGAGAACGGCAACGGGGGCGGAGGCGGAGGGAGCGCCGAGCGGCCGCCGCAGGAAGGGGAGCCGGGGGCGCTGGAGCGAGCCGAAGCCCTCAAGACGCAGGCGAACGATTACTTCAAAGGTAGCCGGGAGGGAGGGAGGGAGGGAGGAGGCGGGGGGGAGCGAAGGAGGCAGGGGGCGGGGCCGGGGAAGGGTGGAGCCGGAGGGGCGGGGCCAAAGGCCGGGAGGGGAGGAGCCTCCGGAGGGGCGGGGCCAAAGGCCATTAGAATAGAATAGAATAATAAGTGTATTATTATCACTTTGAAGGTTCACTAATCAGCATACATTCAAATGAAATTTGGTTGCATGCAAGCTCTCATTGGGAGGCTAAGGAGGCTGGGATGGACTCCAGACCCCATCGTCCCCAGCCGGCGTGGGGTGTGTGTGTGTGTGATGGGTTTTGTAGTCCAGGGCCCTACCTCCTGCTCACCCTTGGAGACTGAGACTGTTGCCCTTTCTCATCCTTTTTTTTGGGGGGGGGGTGTAGCCGTCGTGGCTGATGGGCCTTGCGGCCCAGGTTGTGTTCTCCATCCCTGGGGCGGGCAGGGACTGCAATTCCCATCCTCCTCCGCAAGAGCGGCCAATGGGAGCAGGAGGCAAACAAGGCAGGGGGTTGGAGGGGCCGGGGTCAGCTGGTCTGGAGGAAAGGGCTTCCCACATCCAGGGAGGGGGTCAGCAGGGAAAGCATGAACCTCTTTTGTGGGAACCAAGAACACATGATGGGGCTTTGACTTGGCTGTGGACGATGGGAAGAAGCCAGTGGGGAAGGGTCTTCCCTGTGAAAGGAGACGCTTCGTTCAACTCCGGTGTTGGGAGCATGGGCAGGCACAGACCTGGTGGACAGAGAAGCGCATCAGAAGAAGAAACGGGGGACATGATAGCAGTCTTCCAGTATTTGATGGGCTGCCTCAAAGAAGAGGGGGTCATGTTATTCACCAAAGCACCAGTGGGCAGGACAAGAAACAAGGGTTGGAAACTGATCAAAGAGAGAAGCAACCTGGAATTAAGGAGAAACTTCCTGACAGTGAGGACAATCAACCAGTGGAACAGCTTGCCACCAGAAATCCTGGGCGTTCCATCACTGGAGATTTTTAAGAAGAGACTGGACAGCCATTTGTCCATAATGGTATAGGATCTCCTGCTTGAGCAGGGAGTTGGACTAGAAGACCTCCAGGGTCCCTTCCAACTCTATGATTCCACCTATCTTAAAGCATGCTGGCTGGGGAATTCTGGGTGTTGATGTCAGAGGGAGATCCAACCTGGAATTAAGGAGAACTTTTCTGACAGAACAAGTCACCAGTGGAATGACTGGCCCCCAGAAGTTGTCAGTTATCATTCAAGAGAAAGGGATGCTGGCTGGTATCCTGATTTGTTACCCCCTCTTTGCCTGAAACAGGAGTGGGCATGCAGTCTGAGGCTTAGGCCTACCTCCGTGCAGCCTTGACCTCATTTGGAGAATAACCTGTTCCTGTTTTAATAGTTTTCTGGGCCAGGTGGCAAGGAGACAACCTGGTCTGCTCCATCCTGGCCTGCAGCTGCCAACAGACTGGCTCAGTAGGAGAGGAGAGAGCGTTCCTGGCTCGGGTATTCCAGGGGTTGAGGTCCACACATCTTAGGAAGTCCTTGCATGACTGTAGGCCCTTCGGGGTAGGCCAAGTCAGAAAGCAGACACCACAATAACTCCTGAGGTTCTATTGTAGGGTTGTAGGGTCTAATCACATTGTCAAGGACTGGCAAAGTCTACCCACTTTTAATTAAAACGGAGTTATTCTCACGTTCCCCCCTTCCCCCGGATTTCACTGACCTTTCCTCTCTTGTTTATTCATTAGATGTGGAGGCCACTCAAAATCAGAGTGACAGAGCAACAACTTACAATAAAAAACAAAATATAAAACTGTTATCTCTTGGGGATTCTGCTCAGAATTCTTGCATGCCCTCAGCAACTTGATCTAGACCAGCAAGTTGAAATCGAACTGGACAAATTGGATTACCGGTTAAGAGCCAGCTTGACTTAGTGGTTAAAGTGCTGGCCTAGAAACCAGGCGACAGTGAGTTCTAGTTCTGCCTTAGGCATGAGAACTGACTGGGTGACTTCGGGCCAATCATGAGGCGATGGTGAGTTTTAGTCCTGTCTCAGGCAGGAAAGCCACTTGGGGTGACTCTGGATCAATCACCAGGAGATGGTGAGTTCTAGCTCCACCTAAAACCGTGAAAGCTGGCTGGGTGACTTTGGGCTAGTCACACACACTTAGCTCAAGACACCTCACAGGGTTGTTGCTATGGGAGAAATAGGAGGAGGGAGGAATATTAAGTACGGTACGTTTCTCTGCCCTGAGTTACTTATAATAAAAGTCAGGCGATAATATAATAATTAGCGCTGTTGATTGCAGGCAAGCAAGGGAGCCTGAAGCACCCACAATAGGGCTAGTTGTCTGGACACCCGCTAGAATTATCTTTTTGGAGCGCAGTGATCCGTCTGGAAAAAAATCTGTTATAATCAGCAAATTTGCAGAGCTTTGTGAATGAACAGTGGGCCGGACCCACTGTTAATTTTTAGAGCCGGTTGCTTGGTCGGTAGGCTGGCTGAAACTGTTGTCATTTTCCTATAGAGAAAAACGTGCCTTTTCTTCTAAAAAATGGAAAAAGTTGCCTGCAGAATCAGAAAGTAGCAACTGAATCCTATTTCTTTGCCTTTTGGGGATTCAACAGGCAGCAATCTCCTCTGTGTAGGCTCACAGGGACCCTTGTTCTTAGGTTTCTAATTGTTGTCCATGAAAATTAGTTTCTAATGGTGGATTTCTCTGCTTCCTTGCTGATCTAGTGCTTACTTTTTGGCCCCAGGTTGTGTTTTGATGAAGTTGGTTATTAAACAGTTCGGACTGCCAGAATGTGGCTGCCTTTTAACCTTTGCCAGGGGTGGCTTTTGCCCTGAAGGGAGAGGTTTTTTCTATCCTCTTAGTTATTGTTTGATTCTGGCTCTCGTGGATCCTTGTTGTGTAACACAGGAACTTTGCCTCTACAACGGTGTGCTCCTTTTTGCTTTTTTTTCCCCTCTGACACCCGTGGCGCTGAGGGATTTGGACATGAGAGTTCATGACAGAATCCACGGGACCGAAAACATCCTAAAAAAAGGCAGTCGGCTCTTTGCCCAACACTGGGTAGATATAGCGTTCCATTAGCTGAAGATTTGCTTCAAGGGTGGAAATTACAAATAGGGCAACATTTGTGGGGTCCTTGGTGCCCCCTGAGATTGGTGACTTTCTGGCAGACGTTTCGTTACCCAACTAGGTAACACCATCAGTGCTAGTAGGGAGTGGGGTTTGTGGAGAAGGAGGAGGAGGACTGTGAGGTTCTTAGTGCACTCTCTGAACTTGGTTGTTTTCTTGCAGACATTTCATTATCCAACTAGGGAGCACCATCAGTGCTAGAAGGGAATGGATTTGCAGGGAGGAGGAGGAGGAATGTGGGATCCTGGGTGCTCCCTGAGCTGGATGGTTTTCTTGCAGACATTTCATTACCCAACTAGGTAACATCATCAGTGCTAGAAGGGAGAGGGGTTTGCAGAGAAGAGGAGGAGGAGGAGGAGGAGGAGGAGGAGGAGGAGGAGGAGAAGAAGAACTGTGGGCTCCTTGATACTCTTTGAGCTTGGTTGTTTTCTTGCAGACATTTCATTACCCAACTAGGTAACATCATCAGTGCTAGTAGGAAGTGTTCTCTCATTTTAAGAAGCTAACAGTAAACAATCATGGAATAACTATGATGACCCTCAAACCTTGACAGCCACTAGTATATAAAACGAGAGCAAACCAGATAGAGATAGAGATAGATAGATAGATAGATAGATAGATAGATAGATAGATAGATAGATAGATAGATAGATAGATAGATAGATAGATAGATAGATGATAGATCAATAGATCTGTCTTTTCATGCCTTCTTCCTTTCTTTCCCCCCCACAGCGAAGGACTATGAGAATGCAGTCAAGTATTACTCCCAGGCCATTGAACTCAACCCCACCAATGCCATCTATTACGCTAACCGCAGCTTGGCCTACCTGCGGACGGAGTGCTATGGCTACGCCCTGGCCGATGCCACCAAGTCCATCGACTTGGACAAAAAGTACATCAAGGGCTACTACCGCCGAGCGACCAGCAACATGGCCCTGGGGAAGTTCAAGGCGGCGTTGCGGGATTACGAGACGGTAAGGGAGAGAGAGACACGGGGAGGGTCCCGGAAGGGGTCGGAGCAGGCGTGTATCCCACCCATGGCCCACGGGCTGCCTATGGCCCCGGAGAGCCGGTAATCGCAGCCCCACAAGATTGGAACTTTTTAACATTACACAGAGTCCTCAACTTGTAACCACAGCGGCACCGGAAATTTCTGTTGCTAATCGAGTTAATTGATTTTTTTTTGCCCCGTATTACCCCTTTTCTGGCCACAGTTGTTACATGAATCGCTGCAGTTGTTAAGTTAGTCACACTGTTAAGTGATTCTGGCTTCCCCGTTGCATGTCATGTGGCCGCAAAAGAGGATCGCGTGACCCCGGGACTCTGCAACCGTCATAAATACGAGCCAGTTGCCAAGTGTCCGAATTTTGATCACAGGACCGTGGGGCTGCCGCGACGGTCATAAGTCTGGGGGGAAAAAAACCCGGTCCTAAGTCACTTTTTTCAGTACTGTGGTAACTTGGAACGGTCGCTAAATGAGCTGTTGTAAAGTTGAGGACCAGTTGCTACTTATGTCCATTAAGTATGTCACATATTTTATATGTGGCCCAAGGCCGTTCCTCTTCACTCACTGCGGCCCAGGCTGGACCCCTGAGGGGTCAGCGGCAGGAAACTCATCCAGGCCTCCCCTTCCTCTGCCTTTCCTCCCCTGCCCGCCCCAGGTGGTCAAGGTGAAGCCGAACGATAAGGACGCCAAGATGAAGTATCAGGAGTGCCACAAGATTGTGAAGCAGAAAGCCTTCGAGCGCGCCATCGCCAGCGACGAGCACAAGCGTTCCGTGGTCGATTCCCTGGACATCGAGAATATGAGTGAGTCGGGCAGAAGGGGGGTTCTCGGGAAATTTAGGGTTCCCCAGCCCAGGAGGAGGCTACTCACGCCTCTTTCCAAAGACCTCTTGGGCTACCAGCCACGAGGTTGGGGCCACCAACCCCGAGAGTGAAAACGAGAGAGGGGCTGAATCGTAATAAGCAAACAGACAAAGAAGAGCTGGAAGCCCAGTGGCCCAGCCTCATGGAATTTGGGGCGTCAATACAGGGGTCTCCAACCTTGGCAACTTTATAAGGCTTGTGGACTTCCCGGAATTCCCCAGCCAGCTATGCTGGGAATTGAAATCCCCAAATCTTAAAGTTGCTTGATGGCTGAGAATCTTCTGGGAGTCTTAAAGTTGCCTGGCTGGCTGAGGAATTCTGGGAGTTAAAGTCCCCAAGTCTTAAAGTTGCCTGGCTGGCTGAGGAATTCTGGGAGTTAAAGTCCCCAAGTCTTAAAGTTGCCTGGCTGGCTGAGGAATTCTGGGAGTTGAAGTCCCCAAGTCTTAATGTTGCCTGGCTGGCTGAGGAATTCTGGGAGTTGAAGTCTCCAGGTGGTAAAGTTGCCCAGGTTGGGAGATCCTTGTCTTGGATCAAACTGCTCAAATGGAAACTTAAAGAGAACAGCACCCGATTTTGCTAGAAAGTCAACCCTGATCCCCACGTGGTCACGGAAGGAGAGCCCTGGAAGCCCCCGGCTTCTCCCAGCTTTTCCTTGTCGGCTGCTCTGCTCACCTGAGTCCTTCTCTCCCCTTTTCTTCAGCCATTGAGGACGAGTACAGTGGCCCGAAGCTGGAGAACGGGAAGGTGACCTTGGAATTCATGAAGGAACTGATGCAGTGGTACAAGGATCAGAAGAAGCTGCACCGGAAATGTGCATATCAGGTATAACCGCCCCCCCCCCTTCTGCAGGTAGTCGTTCACTTAACGACCTCATTTGGGACCCCAATTTCCACCATCAGCCAGTCAAGGCAGTCGTGAAACAAGTGACCCCACGACTCAATTTTGCAACCGTTTTCACCCTGGTCGCTAAGCAAATTGCTAGGATTTAACCTAGAGCCGTTAAACGAGTCCAGCTTGGGAAGGCTGCAAATAATCGCGTAACTCTAGAAAGCTGCAAGAGTCGTAAATGCAAATTAAAATTGCAGTTGTATAAATTGCAATTATGTGACCACGGCTCTGTGTGCGTGTGTGTGTGAGAGAGAGAGAGAGAGAGACAGAGTGACAGTCGTAAGGGTGAGGATAGATCGTAAATCGCTTTCTCCAAAGTTGCTGATCTTTGAACCGCTGTTAAAATAAATAATAATAATAATAATAATAATAATAATAATAATAGTAAAGTTGGATCATAAGCCGAGGACTGCCTGTATTGGAAAAGACCCCCCCCCTCTCCAGCCCGGATTGTTCCGTTCCTCTTTCCTACCTGTCTGTCTGCTTATTGGCAACTCCTCCTTTTAATAACAACAACAACAACAACAACAACAACAACAACAATAATAATAATAATAATAATATAATGTTGGAAGGGACCTTGGAGGTCATCTAGTCCAACCCCCTGCTCAGGCAGGAAACCCTATCCCATTTCGGACAAATGGCTGTCCAGTTTCTTTTAAAAAACTTCCAGTGTTGGAGCATTCACCACTTCTGGAGGCAAGAAGTTCCACTGGTTAATTGTTCTCACTGTCAGGAAGTTTCTCCTTAGTTCTTGGTTGCTTCTCTCCTTGATTAGTTTCCACCCGTTGCTCCTTGTCCTGCCTTCTGGCGCTTTGGAGAACAGCTTGACTCCCTCTTCTTTGGGGCAGCCCCTGGGATATTGGAAGGCTGCTATCATGTCCCCCCTCGTCCTTCTCTTCATTAAACTAGATATACCCAATTCTAGCAACCATTCCTTATATGTTTTAGCCTCCAGTCACCTAATCATCTTTGTTGCTCTTCTCTGAACTCTTTCCAGATTCTCAACCTCTTTTTTTTTCTTCCCACAGATTTTAGTACAGGTAAAAGAGGTGCTATCAAAACTCCCCACCCTTGTAGAAACCACGTTAAAAGAGGTAAGGGCATCTTTCTTACCTGGGATTGTTGGTTTGTCTGTTTATTACTGTTGCATCCACCAACACAGCCTGCCAGTTTTAAACTTGCAACTGGAGGTGGCACTCACAGGGTTAAAGCAACAAAACAAAACGTACCGGGAAAAAAAATGGAAGGGGGCAAAAAATACGATGAAAATTGGAAAAAAATGACACGTTACCCCCATGATTCCTCCTTTATTCCTACTACTTGGAATATGAAGACTCCTTAGTCCATTGCTTCCCAATGTTGCCAGCCTGAAGATGGATGGACTTCAAATCCCAACATTCCCGAGCCAGCATGCTAATGAAATTGAAGAAATGTGGACTTCAACTCCCAGAATTCCCCAGCCTGCATGCTAATGAAATTGAAAATGGGTGGGACTTCCGACTTCCCCCTGGCTGGGGGGGGGAAGTCTGGGAGTTGAAGTCCACTCATGTTTTAGTCGCCAAGGTTGAAAAACACGCTCTAATCCGGGGGTGTTCAAACTTGGCAACTAAGACTTGTGGACTTCAACTCCCAGAATTCCCCAGCCAGCCCTGGCTGGCTGAGGAATTCTGGGAGTTGAAGTCCACAAGTCTTAGTTCCCAAGTTTGAAGACCCCTGCTCTAATCACTCTCTGATGAACTTTTTACCTACCACAAACCTGCTCTTTTTTGGTAAGAAAGCGGCACCCCCCAAATGATATATTAATATTTATATCTTACTTATGTGTAAGGGTGTAGGTCTATACCTATGTTGTATAAGGTATGTTTTAAATGTGGGTTATGTATGTGTACACTTTGAGAGGAAGCAACTACATTTCATTTTTAATGTGTGCCATTGTGCCCACAGGGAAAAAATGACAATAAAGGTTATCTACACACACACACACCCGTTAGCTCCACTGGTACATCCCATTTCCGCCTGTTTCCTTTGAACTTGTGTACCTGTTCAGCAAGTGTATCCTAGCAAGGGTCTTCTCAGAATTCTCTTCCGAGGAATTCATTAACCTCTTAGGGGCTGGAGATAGGGCTGGTGGCGGGACCCTGTAATTAAGTGGGGTGGATCAGTGTCACCGCCGCGCACAGGTGTGCCTGCTAAACCTGGCTCAGCTGATACAGGTGAGCCTCTCCCGAGCTTGTCCAATTTCGCGGCGTTCTTATCTCCCTGAAATTGGGGTCATTTTCGTCTGACGAAGCAGAGCGACACCTTTGATGTCTGCTTGGCAGCGCCGACGAGGCTTTTCCCGGGTCCCCTTATGAATTCGCTCGCGGCACCAAGTCTCCCTTGACTTCATCTTCTAGTCAAACCACACAAGAGGCGGAAAAAAAAAAAATTATCCCCGTGATACAAGCGTTCCTCTCTGACTCATCTTTATGACCTCTGCTGAGTCTTCTGCCTTCTTCTTCTCTCTCCTTTCATCTAGACGGAGAAGATTACCGTCTGCGGAGACACCCACGGGCAATACTATGACCTCCTGAATATATTCGAGCTGAACGGGCTGCCCTCGGAATATAATCCATACGTATCTTTTTTTGGGGGGAGGGGGGGAGACTCCGTAGATCGGCAGCTTCTTGGAGACAAGAGCAACTGTGGAGCTTCTGGGGCAGCCAGCCTGAATTGGATTTGGTATATAGCCAAGACTTGGGATAGATGGGGCCAGATGAAGCTACAGGATCTCTCCCCCCCCCCCACATTGCTGGAAGCCCTTCTCTGAATTTCTGGGTGTGCTGGGCAGTCTCTGGGATGGTCCAGACGCTGCTCGGGGTTTCGCATTCAGACATTCTTTGATAGAGCTTCTTGAAGCCAAGTTGGGTACCAAATATTTCACAGCGGCTAGAAAGGTCTTTTTTCAAACTTGGCCACTTTAAGATGGGTGGGCTTGAACTCCTGCTGGCTGCTGGGGAATCCTGGGCGTTGAAGTCCACCCTTGTTAAAAGGGCCAAGTTTGAAAACACCGAGTTAACAGGATTCCACAAGACTTCCTGCTAGGCGGGATGGCTGGAATGTCTAAAAATGCAACCGGCCGGGGTTTTTAATTGCTCCTTCAGTTTTTCCCATGCCAATTGACTGGCATGACCTCAGCAGCCAGCCCTCTTCTCAACCTGGTAGAATGTCAGGTGTGTTTCGCGGGGGGGGGAATAAGAAGGAGCCTCCTGAGGCATGTGAGTGGGTCCAGAGAGGAGTGGGAAGGGGAGGAGAGGAGAGGAAAGGAAGATGAGAGGGAGGAGGGAAGAGAACGGAAGGGAAGAAGGAAAGGAAGATGAGAGGAAGGGAAGGGAAAGGAAGGGAAGAAGGAAAGGAAGATAGGGAGGGAGGGAGGGAAGGGAAAGGAAGGGAAGGGAAGGAAGATAGGGAAGAGAAATGAAGGGAAGAAGGAAAGGAAGATGAGGGAGGGAGGAAAGAAAGGGAAGGAAAGGAAGATGAGATGGAGGGAGGGAAGAGAAAGGAAGGGAAGAAGGAAAGGAAGATGAGAGGAAGGGAAGGGAAGGGAAAGAAAGGGAAGGGAAGAAGGAAAAGAAAGGAGGAATAGGAAGGAAGGAAGGGAAAGGAAAGGAAAGGGAGATTTGCATTTCCCGTGTTGTGTTCTTGAACAAGCCGCCCCACCTCAGCTATTCAACGGGGATTTTGTCGACCGCGGTTCCTTCTCGGTGGAGGTGATACTAACCCTCTTTGGTTTCAAGCTGCTCTATCCAGATCATTTCCACTTGCTCCGAGGTAAGCCTCCGAGTCTCCAAAGGTTTGCAGGGGTAGGAGAGGGGGCTACCTCCCCCTCCCCATAACAGCCCCGTGCTCATTTTCTACTGCTTGTGCTGTTCACTGGCACATTTCAGCCATTCAGCGTCTACAGGTAACCCTCAACTTAACGACCATTTATTTAGTGACCACTGGAAACAAAAGTGACTTAATGTCCAGTTTTCCCACTTACCACTGTTGCCACATCCTCCACGGTCAAGGGATTAAAATCCAGACCCCTTGGCAACGGGCGTGCACTTAACGACGGTTGCACTGTCCCGGAGTCACCTGGTCGTCATTTGTGACCTGCCCAGCGGGCTTCCCACAAGCAAAGTCAAAGAGGGAAGCCAGATTTCGTTTAACGACCGCACGGTTCACTTAAGAACTGCGGCAGAAAAGGTCGTAAAAGGGGGCAGAGCTGGCTTAACAACAGCGTGGTTTATCAGTGGTCATTTTGGGCTCCTTTGTCTGGTCAGGGCTACCTGTCTAGGCCCCATCTCGCTGAGCTGGATGGCTTACTAACTGATCAACTGCAGGGATTCATGCTTAACAATTATGGCAGGGGTCTTCAAACTTGGCCCTTTTATGACTTGTGGACTTCAACTCCCAGAATTCCTCAGCCAGCGTGCCTGGCTGAGGAATTCTGGGAGTTGAAGTCCACAAGTCATAAAAGGGCCAAGTTTGAAGACCCCTGAACTATGGCGAGAAAGGTCGTCCAATGGGACAAAGCTCACTTGACCCATGTCTCACTTTACAACAGAAAGGTTGGCTCCACTGTAGTCATAAGTGGAGGACTCCCGGTATCCGGTGTCCTATGCCTCCCAATTCCTCCTCTCCTCCAGGGAACCACGAAACGGACAACATGAACCAGATCTACGGCTTCGAAGGCGAAGTCAAAGCCAAGTACACGGCCCAGATGTTTGAGCTCTTCAGCGAAGTCTTTGAATGGCTGCCCCTGGTGCACTGCATCAACGGGAAGGTGTTGGTAAGAAGGCCGGGAGGCATGGCTTGGCTTTGACGGACAGGGGTGGCCCCACCTGGTTGAAGCCTGGGTGATACGTTGGGTGGTGGCCACCATCTCTGACTTTAGGGCTCCTCTCCCTCCCCCCCCAACAGATAATGCACGGTGGGCTCTTCAGCGAAGATGGTATCATGTTAGACGACATCCGGAAGATTGAGAGGAATCGTCAACCTCCAGACTCAGGTGAGCAGAAGATTGGATGGGGAATGTCCTCAGGTTGTCTAGCTGGATAAGGTGCTTCCTGCTCAGGTGGGCCTCCCCTTGACCTAAAGAAAGAAACCTTTGGTCAATTTTCCCCAGTCCATCACTTTCCAGCCCCTTTGGACCTCACTTCCCAAGTTGCCTGACCCTCACGAGTGATGGTCTTGTCCAAGATCTCTGGAGGTGGGGGAAGCCTGTAAACTGTATCACAGGTGGTGTTTGTGGGTCCCTATCTCCAGCCCCCTGTGTTTTGGGCTTGGCCTTCTCAGCCTATTAGCAGAAGCTGAGCTAGGTCAAAATATCTCAAGATACCTGCTGGTGAAGACCACGGAATCCTGGATTCTGGGTAGAGGAGCAGAACTCAAGATAGCTTCAGCAACATGTTCTCGTCAACGATGCTCTGCTAATGTTCTGCTTTGTGTTATCTGCCTTCCTTGTTCTCTTCACTTGACCTCTTGTCTTCTCAGGTCCCATGTGTGACTTGTTGTGGTCAGATCCTCAACCCCAGGTGAGTCCAGCTTTGGCACCCCAGGTGCCCCTCAACTTAGGCTTCAGCTTTTGGCATTATCTGAGCCCTACCTCATCCCTGGAATCTGGGCATGGCGTTGAACATGAATGTGAATCGTGAAATACCATGTCCACACATGAAAGTCCAATTAAGCTGTTTTATTGCTCAGAGCCTCAGCACAGGAATCTTCTCACCTAATGGTTAGCGCCAGCTTCGAGTGAGCTAAGGCTCAACAGCAATCAGTGGAGAGAGGACTTAGCCTGATTCTAGGCTAATGCCTCTTTTAACCCTGCCCCCTTCCCCAAGTTCTACCATTCCTCTCCTATGGTCTGGTCTGTGAATCTGCTGTCCCCCCCCCCCAAGCTTCTGATTCTCCGAAGTTTAGGTGTGGTTCTTTCTTCAGCTGGCATTAATTAATTAAAAATTAATTAATTTTTCAGCCGGCATTAATTAAAGGAGGTAGTTCTGGTTGGTGTGGATGGTTCATGATGCTGCAGGCTACTGTAGGGAGTGGAAAAAATGAACAACAGGCTGTTAGAGATCCTACACACACACACACACACACATTTTAAGAGGAGAACTGATATAAACCACTTCTCTATCTCTCCACCTCCGGGAACTTTTCCCACCATTTGAGAGGGTAAGTAAGATACTCTCCATGGAGACGTACAGGTAGTCCTTGAGTTACGACTATAATGGAGCCTGTCCATTACGGCCGTAGCTCGTGACGGTTACAAACTCGAGTCGCCCACGTGACCAACCGACTTCACAACCTTTTTTTTTTATTTTTAGCTATTAATGTCAAATGGGTCATTCTAGCTGTTAAACGAGTCAAACGGTCGTTAAGCGAGTGGCTTCCCCCGTCGGCTTCGCTCGTCGGAAGCCGGGTGGGAAAGCCGAGGATGGCGATCACCTCACCCCGGGCTGCCGCAACCGTCATAAAGCCAAGTTGGCAAGTGCCCAAATTTTGACCAGGGATGCTGCTGCGACGGTTGTAAATGTGAGCCCCGGTCGCCAGTCCCTGTTGTAACTTGGGTCACTAAACGAACGGTGGCAAGTCGAGGAGGAGATGGAAAAGGACCATCCGGATCAGATTTGGCAGAGTTCGGTTGCTTGCGGCTCGTTCTCTGGTTGACCGGACAGCCCCCTCCCCTCGTTTCTCTCTCTCTGTGTCTCTCAGAACGGCCGGTCGGTCAGCAAGCGGGGCGTCAGCTGCCAGTTCGGCCCGGACGTCACGAAGAGCTTCCTGGAAAGCAACCACCTCGACTACATCATCCGAAGCCACGAGGTGAAGGCCGAGGGCTACGAGGTGGCCCACGAGGGGAAGTGCGTCACGGTCTTCTCGGCCCCCAACTACTGGTGAGCCAGGAGGAGGGGATTGGTCGGACCCCCCTTGGATGGGTTCCGGAGGAGGAGACCTGGGCCGTGGGAAACCCCTTCCCCAACACAACACGGGTTGGGTGGGGGGATCTCTTGCAAAAAAAAAAAGTCATTGGCCCCCTTCGCTGCTTAGCTGAAGGCCCTTCCCTGGAGGGAGGGGGGAGGAAAAGGCCCACCCCCATCACAGGCAGGTAGACCTCAATTCACAACCATTCATTTAGTGGCTGTGGGAAGTTACAAGGGCACTGGGAATGGTGACTGGTGACCGTTTTCCACAGGGTGTCATTGGTGTAGGGGGAGGGGGAGGGGGGAGAAAGCGGCTTCCCGGGCTCTTCCTGCTCTTCCAGCTGTTTTGAGAACAGCTGGGCAACCTCTTCCCCCCCCCCCCCCTCTCTTGCCAGTGACCAGATGGGCAATAAGGGGGCCTACATCCATTTGCAAGGCTCAGACCTGCGGCCGGAGTTCCACCAGTTCACAGCAGTGGTGAGTCCGGGCTTCTGGGGTGAGGGGGGGCTGGCGCTCCGGGGTCCCTGCCCTGGGCTCGGGCATCTGGCTAAGGCAGCCCCAGGGGGAGAAAATGGGTGGATTCACTGAGTTTTCTTTCTTTTTTTTCTTTCTTCCTCCCTCCCTTCCTCCCTCCCTGCCTCACTCCCTCTCTCATTTTCCTCCCTCTCTCCTTCTTTTCCTTCCTTCCTCCCTTCCTTCTCCCTCTCATTTTCCTTCTCCCTTCCCTCTCCTTCTCTTTTCCTTCCTCCCTTCCTTGCTCCCTCTTTTTCCTCCCTCCCTCTTTCCTTTTCCTTCCTCCTTTCTTTCCCTCTTCTCTTTTCCTCCCTCCCTTCCTTGCTCCCTCTTTTTCCTCCCTTCCTCTTCCCTTTTCCTTCCTCCTTCCTCCTTTCTTTCCCTCTTTCCTTCTCTTTTCCTCCCTCCCTTCCGCCCTCTCTCTTTCCTTTTCCTTTCCTTGCTTCTTTTTATTCCTCCTTCCCTCTTCTTCCTACCTTCTTTCCTTTTCTCTTCCTTCCTCCCTTTTTGCTCTATTCTTCTGTTTCTTCCCTGCTTCCCTGTTCTTGTTTTCCTTCCTTCCTTCCTTCCTTCCTTCCTTCCTTCCTTCCTTCCTTTTTTCTCTATTCCTCCCTTCCTTTTTTTCTCTATTCCTCCCTTCCTTTTCTCTCCATTCCTTCCTTTTTTCTCTATTCTTCCTTCCTCCCTCAGCCTCATCCGAACATTAAGCCAATGGTTTACGCCAACTCGCTGCTGCAGCTGGGGATGCTATAAGCTGCCTTCCGCCTCTGCTGACCGCCCCCTCCCTCCCAGACCGCCCGGAGGTCCACTCACCAGGCAGCGACCGTGATTTCATTTTTATTTTTTTTATCATTTCTCCCGACATCAGCCTTCACTACTATGGAGCAGGATTGTGCTGCGGACGGGAGGGGACGGGGCAGGGCAGCCGAGGGACTGGTGGGGGGGGGGCAAGCTGAAAAAGTACGTGGCAGGGTTGAGGGAGGAGAGTCCCCTTCCTCAAAAAGCAGGTAGGGACCCCCCCCAGGTGTTTCTTTTCTTGCACTTGCCAACCTGGAGTGCAAGAAAACAGCAAGTCGGAGCGTCGTAAACAAAGGATTTTTTTTAAAAAAAAGTTATATATTTTGGAAGACTGTATTTATTCCCTAGGCTCTCAGTTGTTGTTGTTGTTTTTTTCTTTCCACAGCCCCCCCCCCCCTTCCTTTCCTGGCTGCTGCACAGCTGAGAAAGGAGAGCTGGAGGGGGAAAGTGGGGGGGGGCTTTCTTATGAGCCGGCGTGGCGTCTCGTTGCCCACCCAAAGTCTCCAAATTGGGAGTTTTCCTCTCCCCTCCTCGCCTTCCTTCCTCTGCTGCGTCCGTTGGAGCCGAAAGTCAGCTTATAGGATCTGAGCTGGGGCAGCCAAAGACCGGGTGTGTGTGTGTGTGTGTGTGTGTGTGTTTCCAGATAGGAACACCGGGGTGAAAGGGCCATCTCTCCCACACACACACATTAGGTTTTCTTCACCCATGGGTCAGTGTTGTTCAAACTCAGCAACCTTAAGATGGGGGGACTACAACTCCCAGGATTCCCCAGCCAGCAGGATTCCTGGGAGTTGTAGTCCCCCCATCTTAAGGTTGCTGAGCTTGAACAACACTGATCCATCCTGGCAAAGAGATGGATCCTGGCCTCAGTTACATCCACAATACTGACCAACAGCTTTCCCTGCATCCTTGGCCTGGGGGGGGGG